AAAATATGATAAAATACATAAAAGGAAGAGTGATAAACTAGAAGAAAAAGCATAAATTCTTTACTTAAATAAATTCAATATCTAAAATTCTGAAACTATAAATATCTTTACATTCAAAAATTTATTTTATTATAATCATTTAAATAGACTTTATGAAATAGTATTTACATACCATAAAATTCATAATTAAATTATATAATTCTAATATACATAGTATGCTTACAAAGCTATTAAACTATCACAATATAAACTTAGGGCATTTTGTCATCCCAAAAAGACATTCCATATGCCTTAGAAGTCACCTCCCAGCTCCTCACCCAAAAAACCATTGATCAACTTTCTGTCTTTATAGATTAGTCCTTATGTATATTTCATAATAACAGAATCATATGATATATGTTTGTGTATATTGTTTAAATATATTTTTACTAATTTCAGAAAGGAAGGGAGAGGGAGAGATAGATAGAAACATCAATATTGAGAGAGAATCATTGATCAGCTGCCTCTTGCACACCCCACACTGGGGATCGAGCCAGCAACTTGGGCATGTGCCCTGACACAAAATCTAATAGTGACCTCCTGGTTCATGGGTCTAGGCTCAACCAATTAGCCATGCTGATCTGTCAATAAAAATATTTTTTAATTTAAAAAAACCCACAACTTTCATTGGGAATAATTGGCTTAAGCAAATTAACTTTCTTTCAATGTTGATATCTTTGTGCTTCTCCTTTAGATATAAGGAGAATGCTATGAAATTATCAAGAATTCATCATGACCAACCAGTGAAACCTCTAGATCAAGCGGTCTTCTGGATCGAGTTTGTCATGCGACACAAAGGAGCCAAACATCTTCGGCCAGCCGCCCACGACCTCACCTGGTTCCAGTACCACTCTTTGGATGTGATTGGGTTCCTGCTGGCCTGTGTGGCAACTGCTACATTTGTTATCACAAAATGTGTTCTGTTTTGTTGTCAGAAGTTTTTTAAAACAGGAAAGAAGAAAAAAAGAGAGTAGTTGTTTCAAAGGCCTGAAGCTGATATGCCTCGTAGATAGGACTCCTCCACTTTATTCCAGCAAGAAGTTGCGATGTAAGGGTCACTATCTCCTGTGAAGACCTTACTTTTCACAATTTAGCTTCTCAGATCCAAATTTGTTTTCAAGTGACTACCTAGTTAAGAGTTATAAATATGTCATGCCAAACATAAAAACTTATAAAAAGTCAACCAAAAATAAAGCCATATGAATATATTTTTAAATTTGTTATTCTAATTGCAAAGTTATACCAAAACATTAGCTTAACTGTGTTTCAAACATTACACAGAACATAAGAACATTAAGTAGTCTATTTAAATATTAATATTATTTTGCAAATAGGGAAAGGCATTTCTGTGTGTATGGTAGGGTTAATTGACTAAGGAGTTGAAATCACTGTTTACATTTGCATTATTTAATTTTGAAGCTTTACAGAGTAAACAAATGCATATTTAATTTTTTAATGCTTAAATTAATGTTTATGATTCTGAATGTACTGATGTAATATTAGAGATAAAAGTCTACCATACATCTACACAATGGAATACCACGCTGCTATAAAAAAGAAGGAAGTTTTACCATTTGCAACAGCATGGATGGAACTGGAGAGCCTTATGCTAAGCGAAATAAGCCAGTAGAGAAAGATAAATATTACATGATCTCACTCATGTGTGGGATATAATGATCAACATAAACTGATGAACAAAAATAGATCCAGAGACAAATGGCAGGGGAGGGGGGTGTTAGAGATCAACCAAAGGACTTGTTTGCATGCATATTAGCAAAACCATAGGACACAGACACTGGGGCAGTGGGGGCTTGCTCTCTGGGATGGGAGTGGCGGGGGGAGGTGTTAATCAGGGAAAAAAGAGACATATGTAATACTTTAAACAATTTAAAAAACTGTGGTATATCTACACAATGGAATACTATGCTGCTATTTAAAAAAAGGAACTCTTACCATTCACAACAGCATGGATGGAACTGGAGAGTATCATGCTAAGTGAAATAAGCCAGTTAGAGAAAGATAAATATCACATGATCTCACTCATTTGTGGAATATAATGAACAACATAAACTGATGAACAAAAATAGAGCCAGAGGTGGGAAAAATATTTTAGAATATGATAAAAGTAATCTGTTATTTGCAGATTTTAAATATTTTCTACAACTTTTTTAATATTACACTATGTTAATATAGTTTTGGTACTATTATTATTCTTAAAATTCTTTTTTCTTGAAATATTAACATTTATAGCATTTATTATTATTATTATATTTAAGACTTAAAAAATTAAAAAATTAGCAAATCAAATAAAAATAAAAAGATTTGGAAACAGCCCAAGTGCCCATCAGCAGATGAGTGGATTAAAAAACGGTGGTACATTTACACAATGGAATACTACACAGCGGTAAAAAAGAAGGAACTCTTATCATTTGCAATAGCATGGATGGACCTGGAGAGAAATTATGCTAGCTGAAATAAGCCAGTCAGAGAAAGATAAGTATCACATGATCTCACTCATCTGTGGAATCTAATGAACAAAATAAACTGCCAAACAAAACAGATTCAGACAAAACCATGAACAGACTGATGAATTTCACAGGAAAGATGGGGGTGGATACTGTGTGTGGAGGGGAGGGGGTAATAGAGATTAATAAGGGAATTATATGCGTACTAGAGGCCTGGTGCATGAAATTCGTGCATGGGGGGTTCCCTCAACCTGGCCTGCACCCTCTTCAATCTGGGACCCCTCGGGGGATGTCCGACTGCCAGTTTAGACCCGATCCCTGCAGTCAGACATCCCTCTCGCAATCCAGGACCACTGGCTCTAACCACTCACCTGCCTGCCTGCCTGATCGCCTCCAAGTGCTCTCCCCTTCGGGCCTGATCACCCCTAACTTCTCTTCCCTTCGAGACTGATCGCCCCTAACTGCCTCTGCTTCGGCCCCTGCCACTGTGGCTTTGTCAGGAAGGAAGGCAGGATGACCGGAAGATGTCCGGTCAACCCAATCTAATTAGCATATTACCCTTTTATTAGTATAGATACCCATAGCCAATTGTCACAGACAGTAGCATGGCACAGCCTTGGGAGGGGCAGGTATAAGGAGGAGGTGGCCAATGGGGAAAAAGACACAAAGGGGACACCTGTGATACTTTCAGCAATAAAGATAAATTTAACAAATAAATAAATAAATAAAATCTCTAGAACTGTCATCCAGTAATTCTTTGTCAGCTGCATAATCGCTTTATCTTCATTTCTTCACGAACAGTGATTACAGACACAGTCACCTCTACCATCCTATAATTATGACATTCATCTATAATAAATTATATAACACGGGAAAACTGCAAAGATGACCCAGCTGGATGACAGCACCTTTAGATATTACACAAATTTGTATTTTAAAAAGGTCATTTATTTCATAATTTTCTGACGCCATAAAATGCTGACTGTTAATCAAATGTATTTACTTTGGGTGTAGAAGTTTTATTTTAACTTCTTGATTGATTTCTCTTTGCACTGAAGCATGAGCCATAGTGAAAGCGATCAGCCATTTGCAAAGAAGCATGTGTTCCACCAGGATGCCTATGAAGTGGATTTCAGTTCTGCTGCTGCTACAGCTGAGTGGTCACTTCAGCCCTGGGAGTTGTGGAAAGGTGCTGGTGTGGCCCACGGAATACAGCCACTGGATCAACATGAAGACCATCCTGGATGCACTTGTCCAGAGAGGTCATCAAGTGACTGTTCTGACATCTTCAGCTTCAATTCTTGTTGACCCCAATAAACCATCTGCTATTCAATTTGAGGTTTTTCCTACATCTTTGACAAAAGATGATATGGTTTCTTTTTTCATGCAGCTGATCAATAAATGGACATATCTGCCAAAAGATACGTTTTGGACACATTTTTCATTAATGAGTCATGTCCTTACTTGGTAGCATGAAGTCCTAACTTTGTTAGTGCCCTAAAAGGTGGGTTCGTATAAATATTAAGTCAGAGAAATTTGTTTTTTATAAGTAAAATGATAAAATAACATTATAAAATAATCTTTCATTCTCACAAATATTATGGAAATGCTTAAATTATAAGGTCATTGAGGAATTGCTTCCTCTCATGTAGTTTAGTTTGATTTAAAAACTGAACTATTTAGCCATATTACCTGAAGGGTTCTTTCACACTGGAGTGCTCTATCCCAGACTCACGAACTTATAATCTCAGGTTTCTAATGACTTCACATTCCTTCATTAATCACTTACAACTCATCTGCTTAAACACTAAACTTTTGTTGATGGGTGGACATGTAAGTCAGTAAACTACATTTTGTGAAAACTGTCCCTTCATTAAAAACAAAATGAGTCAAAATTAAGAGTGAGAACATCTATTACCATACATTATGAAAATATTCCAGCTGTTATTTGTAAATGTTTTTAGTAAAGCACAAGTATTATTAGGCTCCTAAAATGAACCAAATGTAATTATAGTACCAGGAATTGAACCATACTTTCAAAACCTCAGTTTTTTGGAAATCTAGAATAAAGGGAATAGCTTGCTAAAATGCAGAAACTAGACTAAATAATCTAGGGAAAAGTGTTTCCATGGGTATGGTAGAGTTAATTGATTGAGGAATTGAAATCATTGTTTACATTTGCATCCATTATTTCTGCAGCTTTACAGAGTAAGCAAATGCATGTTTAATTCTATAGTGGCTTAGGTTTAACCATTTTCTATGATTGTGAATGTCCTGATGTGATGTTAGAGAAGAAAAACTGTTAAATTTTATATATATAGTTAATATATATGAACAACATAATACAAAACATGTATATAAATATGTTTGCACTCTCAAGCCACAGACACTTTAAACATCTTTGGCTACATTATTACAAACTTTAAAAAAATGGCATATTCATATTACAATATTCTTATTTTTTCTACTTTTTGTTCTTTTTTCCCCTTCAGGAAGACCCACTACATTATTCGAGTTAATGAAAAAAGCAGAAATGTGGCTTATTCGAACCTATTGGGATTTTGAATTCCCTCGCCCACTCTTGCCACATTTTCAATTTGTTGGAGGCCTCCACTGCAAACCTGCTAAGCCTCTGCCTAAGGTAAAACTATTCGTGTTTGTTCTGCTTTGCATTTTCAGTAGGAATGATTCTGTGTCCTTTATTCAGAAGGTCTGATCACACTGAGAGAGATATGGGAATCTGGGTAAAGTGATGTACCAAATAGAAACTCATATATTTTATACTATTTCAAGAATCTCAATGTCACTATCATTACAGAATAAATAATTATATTTGGGAGACTTTGGTAATAGGGCCTGTTAAATTAAGGCCTTCATTATTCAACACTTAAAAAATATCAACCATTAATTCAAAAACTAGTTTTTTAGTGACCGGCATAGTGCAAGGATAAGGGGTGGATATAGAAAGGAACAGTATAGATACCATTTTTGCTCCCATACACCAGATGTTTCACTTAGAAAGATCTTATCTAATAAGGAGGGAATAGGCTAATTGACTGCCACACCCTCAAAGATGGCAGCTCCCCCAGCCATAAGATAGCAGCACTCCTTAGTCCCACCGGGGCGGCAGGTACACTGCAAGGCTGGGCCCACCCCACGCGCCTCCCTCCAGAGTCCCCCAGTCCCCTCAGGCCCCCAGCCACCCAGGGCCACCTGAGGCTCAGGTATCCAGGGCCAGCCGAGGCTTGCGCTGCCGGCAGTGGCAGCAGCAGAGGTATTATGAGGCGCTGCCTTCCCCTGATTGTCAGGTCACCTCCAACCCCTGAGGGCTCCCAGACTGTGAGAGGGAACAGGCCAGGCTGAGGGAACCCCCACTCCAGTGCATGAATTTTCATGCACCGGGCCTCGAGTATAATATAAGTAATAAAAACAGTGTGGAAAGTATTATAATAAAGAGAATTCATAATACTGCAATAATGCTAGAGAGCATCCCATGGGAGTGAATCATAATACCTCAGGAGTGACAATAGCAATCTGGTGTAAGTGAGCATGAGACATCCCTTGTTATTTTCCTCCTTCAACAATAAAATTTGTTATCTATCTAACAAAAGTACCAATGTGAAAGGACCTGGAAAGAATCTTGCCCACCTACGCATCAGGTAATAGGCAGAAAGACTCCAGTACAGGCTGTGACACTGAAAGGATATTGTGAATTGTTCCAGCCCCTCTAACCTGAAGTCCAGGAGTACCTACAGCCCTGACTTGGGCAGCCACCTAGGGCAGTGGTCGGTAAACCACGGCTCATGAGGCACATGCAGCTCTTTGGCCCCTTGAATGTGGCTCTTCCACAAAATACAACGTGCAGACGCACACGTACAATGCAATTGAAACTTCGTGGTCCATGTGCAGAAGTCAGTTTTCAGAAAGAAGATAGACAAAACAAGTATACTAGATGAGTGTGGATGGGAGAGTTGTAAGGGGTTGACCTCTGTGAACGTACCTCAATCAGATTGAGGGCGTTTTAGCAAAGGTCAGCTGAGGAGTAACCTAACCTAATCTAATAAAAGAGAAACATTCAAATTGACCATAACTTTGATATGCCCCAAACCACGCCCACCAGAAAATCAGAGCGACTATATGCAAATTAACCCAACCAAGATGGCAGCAGGCAGCCTCAGAGCTGGAGCAAGCAGGAGGCTTGGTTGCCCCAGCAATGGAGGAAGCTAAGCTTCCCGCTGGCTCGGGCCTCCACTGAAGGCAACAAAGTTTCAATAACCCAACCAAGATGGCAGCTGGCAGCCATGGAACTCGAGGGACCAGGAGGCTTGGTTGCCCCAGCAATGGAGGAAGCCAAGCTTCCCGCAGGCCTCCGCTAAAGGCAACATAGTTTAAATTAGAGAAGATAAATAAATCCCAGATACCTGCTTCCAGCCAGCCTCCACTGGGAGCTTGGTGGCTGGGGGCTGTGGCCAGCCTACAAACAGCCATCAGCCCCTCACCCAGGCTGGCCAGGCCCCCCAGTGGGACCCCAACTCTCATCTGGGACACCCTTCAGGGCAAACCAGCTGGCCCCCACCATTGCATGAGGTCTCTATCCTATATAATAAAAGGGTAATATGCAAACTGACCCTAACAGCAGAATGACTGGGAATGACTGGTCACTATGACACACATTGACCCCCAGGGAGCAGATGCTCAATGCAGGAGCTGCCCCCTGGTGGTCAGTGCACTCCCAAGGGTAGGGGGTGCTCTGCTCAGCCACAAGCCAGGCTGATGGCTGCCAGTACAGCAGTGATGGTGGGAGCCTCTCCCGCCTCCTCAGCAGTGCTAAGGATGTCTGACTGCAGCTTAGGCCTGCTCCCTGCTGTCAAGTGGACATCCCCTGTGGGCTCTCAGGCTGCCAGAGGGATGTCTGACAGCCAGTGTAGGCCGTATTTCCCAGGGAGCCGGGCTAAGCCAGCAGGTGGACATCCCCTGAGGGGACAGGCCTGGCTGAGGGACACCCCCGCACCCCGAATGCACAAATTTTTGTGCAACGGGCCTCTAGTTAATAACAATGTACCTACCTATATAGTTTAAGTATAAAAAATTTGGCTCTTAAAAGAAATTTCAATCGTTGTACTGTTGATATTTGGCTCTGTTGACTAATGAGTTTGCCGACCACTGACCTATGGAGTAGAGAACTTTTGTGAAGTCCAGATATCTAGAGAAGTTTCAGCACTCTGTTGGAGCACCAAATAGATGAATTTGAATGCATTGGTGTGGGCAAGAGGAAAGCTTGATTTTGCCAGCATCATTCCTTTTTTGATGGAGCTCAGTATAAGGCTTAAAGAAGGCCTGCCCGTGCCCATGATTTCCCTCACAGGGATAGCAAGCCAGTGAGTGGCTGCTGAGCTTCCCCTGGTTTGCAGGATGCTTCCAAAGAGTTCATTTCTCTCTCACAATATCCAGAGAATTGTATTAGGAACTCAGTAACTGGTTAGAGGGAGCAGATCTAGAAAAGAAAATTACTAGAGAACATGTTAAAGAGACAGGGTTCCTCCTGACTGCATTCTGTGCTCCATCAGGAAGCCTGACCACAAACCACGAAGAAAACCTTTCTTACAGATCCCCACATACTGGCATGTGGGCAACAACAGTGACCCACTTTCCAACCCATATCTCCTCCCCTCTGTGGCCAGCTCCATGTATAAGCTGCCGAGGGCAGCAGAAAGAACAAAATTTGATAAAAGGCTAGGGAGCCAGAGCAGAATACAGGCAAGGGTTTGCAGACAGGAGAGAACCACAAACTTGAGCTGTAGCATCACCTTCAGGAAAAAAAAATAAAGGAAAAGCTTAATACTAAAAAGATCAGCATCTAGCCTGGTGCTTTATAGAATAGAGGGAACACAAACAGGCTCAAGAATTCTCCCACAAGAGGGAGCATGAAGCACAGAGCAGGCATATTCATACAAGAACTGAAAAAGCCTTATCTATAGCAGTACTGACGAAAGGTATTTCTACCCTGAAAGTAGTAAACATCAGTGGGTGACTGCTAATTCAAATGTAAAAACAGCAATGCAAAATTCCAAAGAACGTGAAAAATCAAGAAAACATTAGGTCACCAAATTCTACAACAATCCTCCAGCAAACAAATACAGACATGAAGATATATGATTCACCCAATAAAAAAGTCAAAATAGCTGTGGTAAGGAAACTTGGTGATCTAAAAGATAACACTGAATCCTGTGCACTGTTGGTGAGAATGTAAAACCGGTGCAACCACTAATAAAAACAGTATGGAGGTTTTTTAAGAAGTTAAATAGAGCCACCATATGACCCACAAATCCACTTCTGGGTATACTTCTAAAAGTAAGAAAAATAGGATTTCAAAAAAATATCCATAATCCCACGTTTATTGCACAATTATTCACAAGAGCCAATAAATGGAAACAACTTAAGAAATGTGAAATACACACACACACACACACACTAAAATATTATTTAGTCATCAGAAAGGAGGAAATCATACCATTTGGGACAACATAGATGGACCATGAAGGTATTATGCTAAGTGACATAAAGCACACTGAAAATGATAAATAATACAGGATATCACTTATATGTAGAATCTAAAAATGGGAAACTCATCAGAAACAGAAGTATAATGGTTATTACCATGGACTGGTGAAAGGGAGATTTGTGGGTAAGAAAAAGTTAGTCAGAGGTACAGACTTGCAACTCGAAGATGATTAAGTTTGGGAGATATAGTGATTATAGCCAACAATATTCTTTATATACTTGAAAGTTTCTACATACTAGATCTTAAATGTTCTCACCACACACATAAAAAGATAATTATGTGACCTAACAGAGGTGTTCACTAATATTAGGTAGTAATAGTATATATA